CCACGTCAGCAGTGCCACGTCAGACACAGTGCCACGTAAGCAGTGCCACGTCAGACACAGTGCCACGTAAGCAGTGCCACGTCAGCAGTGCCACGACAGACACAGTGCCACATAAGCATTGCCACATGAGCAGTGCCATGTCAGCAGAGCCACGTCAGCAAACATGACGGGCCTGCCAGGGCAACTGGCCAATGAGCCTATTGCCGACTACAAAAAGCGTTTCCAAGCTCAGCTCGCTGCAATCGAGGCTGAGGAACAACGCCAGCTGGCAGTCACGGCTGCCCAGCTACAGGCTGAAGAAGCGGCAACAACAGAGAAGCTGCGGCTACAGGCCGAAGCAGACGCAGATGCCCAGGCTCGCCGGAGGGAAGCCCAGGATCTGCTGCTGCGGCATAAAGCCAACAGCATCGACAGACTCAAGTACTGGCATTTTGAACCGAACGGCGACGAGGCAACACTGGAAGAGCAGCATAAGGAGTTCTTTGCCAAGCTCGTGACCAGGCTGGTTTACACATGTAACCACCTGCAGTCCGAGCTGGCAAACCTTCAGCGGGCTGTGCGGAACCATAAGACTCAACACGAGGATGCCGCACGGGCACTGGATGCCCGTGTACTGGACCTGGAACAGGCTGTACTAGGACCAGCTACTGGGGCTTCCAGTAGTGCATCCTCTAGCCACCAACTGGAGGAACGCGTTGACCACGTAGTGGCAATGCTAGGAGACATAAGTGCCTTCACAGAGCCGGCCACCATCAGCCATCGGTTCGAGTTGCTGGACACCAAGCTCAGTCAGCAACAGCAGATCAACCACAGCCACAACAATAGCTCGGCGAGGCCATACAAGATGCTGACGTTCCGGATCGAAAAATTTGATGACTACACACATCAAGACCCGGTCGTCTGGTGACAAGGATTTACAACGGAGTTGGGGATCCACGAGGTCCCTGACCATCTATTCATCACGGCTCTGTTCATCAACACCAAGGGAGGATGTCAGATCTGGCTCAGCCATATGGCAACCATCCACGGCGTCCACGTTTCAGACCTGCATAAGAAGGTCTCCTGGGAGGATGTGACAAAGGAATGGAAGAAGCGGTTCATAGTGGATGACGCACCCGCGCTTGCCATCAACTGCATCTTCGCGATGGCTCAAGGGAGCACAGCGACACGTGACTGGCTCACGGATTGGTAGAAGATCGTGGCCACGCCCGATCTGGACTTGCCATTTCCGCATCTGCGCCGTGAGTTCTACAACAGGGCCGCTCTCAGCCTCGCACTTGGTGATTGTGAGCAGTACAACACTTTCGCAGAGATCATCAACAAGGCGAGAGAGATCATCAAGACCAACAGGGTGGCCGCACACGAGAAGTCAACGTGGCAGCCAACCTATGTGGAGAAGGTACGAACTGGTCCGCGACAGCAACAGTTCGCTTCAGTCCAATCGGACAGTGGAGAAGACTCAACGGCCACTCCAGCATCACGTGAGGGAGATCAGGTGGCTGCTGTCCAGCCGCGAAGCAACAAGCCTCGAGTGAACGGGAAGGCGAAACCAGCATCGCAGGCCGGAAACGGACAGCCAGCACCACCATGGGTCAAGTTCGGCTTGACCGAGGCCGAGTACAAGTACCGCAACCGTTACGGCTGCTGTTACTGGTGCAACAGCACCAAGCACAAGACCTCCATTTGCCAAGATCATGCCAAGGAGGATGTGCGGCCTCGTCTTAACTTAGGAAACTGAGTTGCGCACGAGGTGAGGCGACTTCACCTCTCACTCCGCCAGATTCGGCCGCCTTGCTAGCGGCCTCCTACACATCTGGGGAGGATGCGCATGTCGCAAGTCCTCGGTACACTTACAAGGATTATGTTGTCCACTTGGTCCCACCGCTGGACCAACCGCTCCACGTGCAACAATCTACCGCATGCACGGTTTCATCACCATCGGCAACCGATTCGGCAGCTTCGCCGCTATCTATCGTCGGGGATTCATCGTCGTGGTCAAGACTTGAGGTGCTCGACCCACTGACGTTCACGGACTTCCAGTGGATGCCCGTTCCCCAGACCGGATGGTTGCCGAAACCACATTGCAATGTGCTCATGGCACAACTGCGAGATTACTTGCACACTGCAGTACCAGCTCCGTTGATGGACGCCGAAGTAGAGGTTGTCGACCTTCAACCTTACATTGCGAAGATCGACCGCGAGTTCAAGACGCAACGGTACGACGACATCGACGCACCATTGCTATATGTACGCATTCAGATCGAAGAGGCGACCTGCAACGCCTTGATCGATTGCGGAGCATCTCGCAACTACATCAGCCAGGACTTCATGGTGCGCGCCGGCCTTGGCCCACGTATCCGGAGGAAGTCCCAGCCTACGCAAGTCACTTTGGCAGACGGTCATACGCACAAGTGCATCGACCAGTGCATTGACGCCGTCCCCGTGTACTTTGCCCCTCATGCACGTGAGGCGGTGTCCTTTGATACTCTGGACACCAAATTTGACATGATCTTGGGCATGTCATGGCTGCGAAGCGAGGATCACCCGGTGAACTTCTTCCACCGCACCGTTCACATTCGTGATCGGAACGGAGTATTAGTTCCATGCACGGTACCTCTTCCTCATCCTTCGATCAGCTGCCACGTGGTATCCGCCGCAAGCTGCGAGCATCCATCATCAGAGACGACATCGAGGAGATGGGGGTGTGTTTTCTCCACGCCCTCCCGCACCGAGACGCTTCATCGACGGACTCATCTTCGGATCCACGCATCACCGAACTTCTCGACGCCTACAGCGACGTGTTCGAAGGACCGCACGGAGTAGTACCGGATCGGCCCATCCGCCACGAGATCATCCTTGAGGACGGGGTCGTACCTCCGCACGCCTGCATCTACCGAATGAGCGAGGAAAAGTTAAGAGTGCTTCGTGCACAACTCGATGATCTTCTAGAGAAAGGCTCGATTCGGCCTAGCTCATCGCCATACGGTGCTCCTGTCCTCTTCATCCGGAAGAAGAACAAGGACCTGCGGTTGTGCATCGATTATCGCAAGCTCAACGCGCAGACGATCAGGAACGCCGACCCTCTCCCACGCATCGTCGACCTTCTCGAGCGATTGGGCGGCGCCCAGTTCTTCTCTAAGCTGGATCTCAAGTCACGGTACCACCAACTCGAGATTCGCAAGGARGATCGCTACAAGACCGCGTTTAAGACACGGTATGGGCATTTCGAATGGCTGGTCATGCTGTTTGGCCTTACGGATGCCCCAACCACTTTCCAAGCGGCTATGACAACGGAGTTCCGACACATGGTGGATCGGTTTGTACTCATCTACCTCGACGACATCTTGGTGTATAGTCGGAGTTTGGACGAGCATGTGGAACACCTGCGCACCGTTTTGGATCGGCTACGACAAGCCAAGTACAAAGCAAATCGCGACAAGTGCGAGTTCGCACAGCAGGAGCTGGAATACTTGGGACACTATGTGACGCCGCAAGGCATCTGTCCGCTTGCGGACAAGATCGAGGCCCTACGAGTATGGCCCGAGCCCACCAACACCATGGACGTTCGTTCATTCATGGGATTGGCCGGCTACTATCAGCGATTCATCACCGGATACTCCAGGATTGCTGCACCTATGACGAGGTTACAGTCACCAAAGGTGCCGTTTGTATTCGATGACGCTGCACGCCGGTCATTCCAAGCACTTAAGACGGCTATGCTCATGGCACCCGTCCTTAGCATCTATGACCCCACCCTGCCGACGCGAGTGACTACGGACGCTTCCGGCTATGGCATTGGGGCAGTCTTGGAACAACACGATGGCGAYGACTGGCACCCTGTGGAGTATTTCAGCCACAAAGTGCMTCCCATCAACTCGCTTGATGATGCAAGGAAGAAGGAGCTGCTCGCATTCGTCATGGCTCTCAAGCGATGGCGGCACTTTCTCCTTGGGCGTCGTAGGTTCACATGGGTTACGAACAACAATCCATTGACCTACTACAAGATGTAGGATACGGTGAGCAGCACGATCGGACGATGGATGTACTTCATCGACCAATTTGACTTCACACCGAAACATTTACCCGGCCTCTCAAATCGCGCAGCAGATGCACTCTCGCGAAGACCCGATCTTTGCGCTATGACACATCATGCCTTCGCATTCGACGAGGAGCTTCAGCGACACTTCATCCGGGCATATATGTCTGATCCGGACTTCGCCACGCTGTACGCACAGCTATCTTCGGATCACCCGCCGGCCAGCCACTATCGCATCGCCGACGGATACTTGCTCCTCCACTCGAGAGGCAAGGACTTATTATGTGTCCCATGCGATCGTCGTCTTCGGACTCGCCTCCTCGGCGAGTATCATGATTCACGACTCGCCGGCCATTTCGGAGTCAATCGCACTATTGCACGGCTTCGACAGCGATTCCGATGACTCGACCTCATTACCGATGTCACTCGGTATTGCGACTCGTGCGAAGTTTGCCGACGCAGCAAACCCCGCAACCGCAATCCCTATGGCGAGTTACACCCGATGCCTATCCCATAGGAACCTGGTCTCTCCATTGCCATGGACGTCACCGGTCCGTTTCCTCGCGACCGGCTCGGGCACGACGGCATCCTCACGGTTGTGGACCGATTGAGTAAGTACGCGCGTTTTCTCCCTTGCAAGTACTACTCCACGGCTCCTGAGCTGACACGCCTCCTGCACACTGGTTGGATTTGTGGCCACGGTGTACCAGAAAATATTGTCAGCGACCTCGACACTCGTTTCATGTCGGCGTTTTGGACTTCTCTCATGCAGGAGTCCGGCACAACAATGAAACCAAGTTCGGCTCGGCATCCTCAGACAGACGGGCAGACGGAGCGGGCACATCAAACCGCTCAAATGATGCTTCGTACACTCATCCGTCCGGACCAGAAAGATTGGGTTGACCGCCTCCCCGACATCGAGTTCACCTACAAAACTTCGGTGCACCCGGCGATCGGCGTGACTCCATTCGAGTTGCACCACGGTGGACGGAAAGGCCGGATCTTCGCCGACCTTCTCCTCCCTCGACCAGCCGACATTGACGCTGCCTGCTCTCCCGCTTTCGTCTGGAAGTACAGGAAATTGCTGACTCAAGCCCGCGCAAACATGCAAAAGGCTTAAGTCCGCATGCAGCAGCCAGCCAACAGGCGCCGCGTACCATGTCCCTTCCGCGCCGGTGATCTGGTTTGGGTCTCCGCGGAAGAGTTTGCACTGGAACAGGACGTTTCACGCAAACTTCTTCCCAAGTGGTTTGGACCTTGGTCTGTGACAGCAGYCGCGGGCGATGAGCCCGATGGCCCTTCATTTGCGATCAACATTCCAGAGCATCTGACGGTCCATCCGGTCTTCCACGCCTCGAAGCTGGCAACATACACGCCAGCCAAGAGCGACGACTTTCCGGGCCGACGATCGCAGGACCCTCCTTCTATGGATGGCAGGGTTGTCGAACCCCGGCCCCGGGACCCCGCCGGGGTTCCGGGGTTCCGGGGGTCGGCACCCGGG